TTTTTTCGCTGCAGAAATGCCCTCACGGTCTACAGAAAAATTGTAGTAACTATGCTTGCACCCTTCGCGGATGTGCTGCCACGACACAGCCAAACGAAAGTATGGGAAAATATTTCGGCGGCCGCGATGACGTCGGAAAGTGGTGGGATCCAAAAACTACATTGTAACTGGGCTGTAGTGTAGTGGTGGGATCAGACCCCTACTCGCCACAAATTTACTTTCACAGGAGTTTTGTGGGTTGGATCTCCAGCCGCAAAGCTGAACACTAGTCAGGAAGTCGCTTTGTGCAAGGGTCACAAGGACGACGCTCTACAAAAGTGCAGTAGAAAGTCGGGAAATCGCCACACACTCTAGCAAAGGTCAAAAGTTATGACAGGTTTTTCTTTTGCCAAGTTTGGCGAGTAAGTGCAACCATGCAACTACTAGCCAAACTTGGCGGATGGTGAGTAGTGTAATTCGGCGAGTATAGCAATGAGGCCTTGAACCACCAGTACTTGGCCCAGCTATCGGCCGCCGGAAAAAAAAAAAAGTAGAATCGTTTCAAGTCGGATGAATTTAGGTGCTCTTGTAGTGACCCGTACGTTTTCTAAAATTGTGGCTTATATACGGGCATGACTTTAGGAAGTATAGGTGGTTTAAGCCACCAATATACCCGGGTCTAACAGCCTTCCACTACGCGCCAAGGTTTTCCCAACCGCCAACGGCGAATTTTGTTGGTTTTTTTTTTCAGCACATCGCCCATTGTGGTCGGGTAACCCCTAAGCCTCTGAATTTTTTGTAGGTGACGAAAGATTTCTCCATAAGTTGGGGGGTTGTGTACTACCGGTTAATACTCAGGACAATGCTTTATACTGCAAATGGAACTACACTCTCCCCCCTCCAGTAGGGTCCCACCCATCAAGAGACATTGCAAGTCCACACTACCTCCCTTGATTAAAGGTAGTTGTTATGCACTAGGACGCTTATCGCCTCCATGATGATGCCTTCACAAAACTAATATTTCCCTTCACTCATCAACCCCTTTTTAGTGAACAACGGTCATTGGCACCAGCGTTGAGCAGGCAAACCCGGCCCTAATTGAAGTACTTACAAAACAAGCACAGTCACAAGGTCATTTCGAACACCAAACGTACTCATTTTTCCTACAAGCTCCATGAGCATGTCATGTTTTCCTTCCTCTAGAGGCTCATACATAGAGCTTTTATGAAAATTGCAATTTTAAGTTTTGCCAATTTATGCTCAACTTGTTATGCGTGGAAATGCGGTCCCTCTATAAATTTATATAATTATCAGAATGTTCATGATAATTTTATTAATTTGATTTATTTATTTTTGTGAAGTAAATTTTTTATTTAGCAAAAGACCATAAACGAAATTAAACTTTGGCATAAGTTTAGTTATTATTTATTTTTAATTTTTGAATATTTTTTGGATAATATATTTCGAAAATAAAAAATGCACGTCTTAGTAAGCACGTATAACTATTATTTGATCATGGTCATTAACCTATTAGATTAACTTTCATCATTTTTGTTTTAATTTTTTATGTTATTGAACGAATTTCGCTTTATGAGATTGACACTCGTTTTCAACTTTCTGTATAATAGCGAACGTGTGTATTTTGCGTTTTGAAATACAATTAGCCAAGGTGCGATGATGCGCACGTAGGAATAAATATGCCAATTTTTAAAAAAAATTATCTTAAAGTTTTTGGCATTTATATGCATTATCGTGCTAACATTCTCGCTTTTTTTGTGCGTGTGATTTTTTGCACAATTTTTTTATAGCCCCTCTCCTTAATTTTTATTTATTTTTTTACAAGTATGACATTTTTTTTGTTGAAAACTCCCAACTATCATTATTTTGTCAGATCGATTTTTTAAAAAATTTTATCTATCTCTTTCTCTGCTTTCCTATCCCATTCTCGTTTGTTTTCCCCTTATCGACTATCGTGATGCATCATGTTAGAGTCCAATCATGTAATTCGCTAGATACTCCCTCCTACTCTGCATAATCATTTTTTCCTCTCTTTTAATTGCACACCATCATCTATACTGCTATAAATTTTACAAGCTTGATTTTTTATTTTTTATCCTTGCGAAAGTTAACACGAGTATCAGGGTTAGTTAGCTTAGCCTGTAA